AGCATGTCAACATATTCTGTTACACCAAATACACAAAATAATGATCTTTAAAATAGCATCATATGACCCCTTTAACTAACGTACTCTACGATTAGCTCAGTGAATAATTAGAAAAAAAAACATAGACCCGGTTAGAACAAGCGGAGTGATACAAAATTGTGAAAGGGCGTTCCTGTAGCGATACCAGTACAATATCTCACGGTTCTCAACCAATCAGATTTGAGAACCAGAACGAACTGTTGTATAAATAAAAATATTTTTTGTAATAATAACATTCCTCTAGATAAGTATTTATTGAATTTTGTAGGTATGTTGACACATAAAATGTGTCAGGCTGCTAAATCTTCATCTACTTTGTCCTTTTACTATGTGACTTTGCAACGCATAGAATTTTTGGGGGTTTGTCCACATAAAACACATCTTAAACTCCCACTATAAACACACATGAACTGATCCCAATGACCTCAGAGCCGACTGAACTGGTCACTGCTGCTGCAAATGTCCTTTTATACTTTTGACCCCGATTTACAGCTCCAATGTTCACCGTAGTTAGTACCCTGAGTCTTTAAATATTTGCACATGCACTTCATAGGACAGATTTTACCAGGTGCTGTCCCTTGCATGCACCTTGGCATTGGCCCAGGTGTAAAGTCATATCTGTCATCACCGTCTGTTGGGTTTCCCAGGATGCAGCTTCACAAAGGTCCTTCTGGTTTGAGGAACGGTTGTTACTTGGTACAGCAGTTTCAGTAAGTAATGAGATGGCTCGTCCAGGTAAACCATAAGTCACAACGCCCGGTGTCCTTTGAGTGTGAAGTTAAAACAGCTGACTGCTCACAAAAGTGCTCTCCTGCTGTGAAGGAGAAGGTCAAAGGACGTATACTGTACTCATTATTTTCTCTTTCTCGTTTGTTCTTTTTCTCACATTGAGTTGTACAGTAAAACAGTACATCTGCTTACTGAGTGTTTTTCTCTCCCCTTCTGCTTTTTCAGGTTCTTGGGGATGTTTTATTGGAGCTGTATCGGGCTCTGAAGTGGGTGGTGCGGTCGGATCCAGATGAGGTGGCCGTACTCCACGCTCAACTTGCTCTGGAGGAGCTGGATGATGTCATGAGGAGGTTCATCTTCCCTCAGCAGAAACTGGAGAAAAGGATTGTGGTACTTCCTTGAAAGTGCTCCAGGACTTACATAGCCTTGCTATAGACAGAGGATTTTGTCTTAGATTTCCACCATCCATTAAATTTATACTTGTAGTAATTGAAAGATTTATTCATTTCAGGGTTTTTCTTTCTTATAATCATTTTTCACAGCTATATTTTCATTCTCAAGCCAAAAAACCTGTCTTAGCATTGATAAACTAGCATTGTGGCTTTTGTTATCTTGTACATTGAGGTTAGAGGGCACCACAAGCTATACATCTGTGTAAAGAGCTCTGCGGTAGCTGGTTTCCTCTCTATTCTGCACTGGTGATAAAATGCCTGTTTGCTTTTTATCGAATGTTTGTGGAACATATAAAGATGGCTAGGTCGTGACATCATTGTAAGATACGACAGGGCAATTAGTCATTCTCTTAAATTTTCCCCCTGTGCACAATACTGAAACTTTCCATTCATGTTAACCGTCTCTATGGCTGCCTGACCTCTTGGGTCTGCACCAAAGCAGAGCTGGTTAAATACCATGTAAATACCAATTTTAGCATTTATGCTAACTCAAAATGTTAGTTTGGTAATGAGGTGCCTCTGGAATAAAATAAAAGTGCTTATTTTTCCAAAGATTGTCTAATGTGTTTATATTATCCTGTCGTTAACAGTTTCTTTTTCCCTTTGCTAGGACTGTTTTAAAGTCAGTGTAAGTGTAAGCACTTGTCCGAACATCTGGGTTAGGTTGCAGTGCCCCAAGTTCCTGTGCTGTAAGGTAATGGAGGTGAACCAACCATTCACCTGCTAAAAGTAGTTCACACTGTTAGAAAAAAACACATAAAGCATTTGTGTGGTTATTGTATTTGCTTATATTAAAGTCAATATGGATTGATCTTCACAAAGGATTGTAATGTTAAAGGGATAGTTCACCCAAAAATTTAACATTTTGTCATTATTTACTCACTCATGTTGTTCTAAAACTGTACAACTTTCTTTCCTCTGTGAAATGTAAACTTAGATATTTTATGAAATGACTTGAATTTTGGAAGTCCATAGATATCAAAACTGATTGGTAACAAACATTCTTTAAAAAGTTTTTTGTGTTTCACAAAAGTCAGTCATACAGGTTTGGAACAACATGGGAGTGAGTATATGATGGCAGAATTTTTATGTTTGAGTAAACTATCTCTTTAAAAATTTCTGAGTGAAGCAGAAAAATGTAGGACAGGAATTTTGGGGGCGTTCAATAACAAAGAAACGCCATTGCTAAATGCTGCAGTTATTACATTTTGAAAGAAAAAAAAAAGATATGCACAGATACAAGGCCAGTAACACTCTTTTAGAAAGTAAGAATCTAGTAGAAGTCTAAAGGACCATTTTGACTTCATGATGACCAATTTTGATGTTTTCTGTGTTCAGAAACTTAAAGAAAAAGGAGAAACCAGGATAGATATAATTCCTAAACATCTGAATGACAAACAAAACAAAAATCAGAGATAGTTTAGTTAAATAGTTTTGACTGTGTGTAGCACCTACTGCTCTGCAGATCCTTCCGAGGGATCTCAAAATGTGGATGTATCCTTGATCATTTTAGACCAGTTTTAACATTTTTATTTTGGATTATGTTGTGACTTTGCATCAAAACCCTCAATGGTGATTCATGTTCAAAAAGCAAAGAGTTTATTCACTGTTTTTATTAATCACAAAGAGGAAAAAGACATGTTTCGCCCATCAGTGTGATGCAGTAAACTACCATGTTGAATTGCATTATTTTGTGATTCTGTCACAATGTAATGCAGACTTTGCAAATAGGCAGTTATTGATGAATGGAGAAGTTACTCTATATATTAGTGTAAATTATATTACACCAGACAGCAAATTTCAGCTGTCCGCAAAGCCTGTAAATATTATGCTTATATAGCAGCCTTAAAGGCATAATAGCAAAAATGAACAGCCTGTTTAATTCTAAGAGTCAAGAGAGAATGGATTTTGTCCAAGTTTTGATAAGTCAACTTTTTTTTTCTTTGGTTTTTTATTGCACTTGCATTTAAAGCCATATTCAGGATGTGTTAGCTAATATAATTGCTGTGTAATGGGCAGCTGCACGGTTGGAGGTCATAAACTTTGTCTTAGTGTTTCTGCAAAGAAACCTCACAGGCTCTTGAGGTGTCTCTTATAATAGCATCTCTGGTTAGGATCCAAAGACGTTTCCACAGTAAGGGGTAAATCAGTGACGCCACTGCGCAGCACTGAAGCCAGGCCGATGGAGCGTCACTCTTTCACCTTCCTTCCCCACAACCCCCATAATAACCTTCCCACGACTGCTACTCAGCCATGAAAGAGCCATTACGCTAATTACTCCTCCTGCCACGCAGCAGAGTCGGAAAGAGAAAGGGCGTGAGCGTGTTTTACCTGGCTGGTGAATTTCGGAGGGATCGTTTCGAAAACAGAGCAAGTTTTCATTGGGTGCCGGAGGAAGACACAACTGAGATTGGAATGTTTGGAGATGCCGTGGATATTGATTATGTCTGATCTTGCTGCAGTCTATCTCTCTCTTCCTTCTCTCGCAGATCTCTTCATCAGCCGGTGTTGGACCTGCAGGCTGCCAGCAGGAGGGGTGCAGGGAGGGGTGATAGATAAATAAATAAACCAATGAAGGATGCATTGAGAGGGTGTGTGTGTGTAGCCAAGAGAAGGGGCTGCCTGCTCAAACAGTCCCAAGTCTTGTTGAAGGTTGGCTGCACTGCAGAGCAGGGGGAAAAGCACAGAGAAGGGACCTTGAAGGATTTCGGGCTGCACTGCAGAACGATGCCACTGCAGTACAGCACTGACAAAGAGGCATGAGGTCCACCGGCGGACCCCCAGCCTCCTCGCACCAGGTGAGAACTTAATTCACAGCTGATACCAGAGGCCTTCATGCCTCAGGAAGAGAGGGAGGGAGAGACACAAAAAGAAGGGGAGGGAAGCAGAGGAGGAGGAGGGTAATGGTGCTGTATTTTTGGAAAAGGGATCTCCTGAATTAAGTGTGGCTGGAATAAAGATGTAGTGTGAGCAGGAGGCTGAACAAGGACGGTGCTGTGCTCCACTGTGGTGGAGAGGAGCGGAGCAGACGCCTGGCAGACACACACTCGCACACACACCGGCTCAGAGAGACTGAGAGAGAAAGAGAGAGAGCCCACCGTCACAGCTGCGGGGCTGGGAAGGTAAGACGTTTAATTCAACTTGAGTTTCATCTTGTGTATGTATTGTGGGAGTGGATGAAAAATGAAAGCATGCAGCTTGAGAGCTCTGTCATATGTTCATTGTGTGGTTGTATGTGTGTGAGATACTAAAATTGAGAGAGAGTCAAAGCGTGGAGTTTTTGGTTGGGTGGGTAGGTGTGTTTTTGCACAAATAGGCTACTGTAAGCTTGTGTTTGTACGAGATACTAAAAAAATCACTGCTGCACTAAATAACACTGAAAAACAAATGGTTATGGATAGCTTTTAGTATTGAACTCGAGAGAATGTGTGGGATTTTTAAGATCTTCATATGTGTGTTTTTAGTAATTAGAATCTAAGTTCTAGTGGAATAAGGCCCTCAGTTTCTTGGCACCCATGTTAGTGCCCTGAGGCTGAGTAAATAAGTGGGTGGCAGGACGGGGTAAAACAGGAAAGCTTCAGAATGTGTTTTAAGGGTTGTTGCCCGATTAAGGAAAATGACGTCTGTTTAGCTTTCCATGTCATCATACAGTACATTGACAACACAAGGGTCTGGTTAGAGTTTTGAAAAATGCTTCCGAGTTTGTACAGTTTGTCTGTGACCAGAATAATGAGCAAATATTCAAGATTCACCCCAGCACATAATTTACAAAAGACTTGGTAAATATTACATGCAAGTTCAATGTGTTCCAACGTGCAAATCTGTTGTGTTTTATTAAGTTTATTTAACAGGATTAAAATGATTCTGCATATTATCCCAGCAACTTCACTATTGTTAAATCAGTTTTATGTAACAGAATGTGAACATTAAATTATTAAAACATGAAAAATACATGACTACGGGTGTTTTGGATGTTGGATGTGAGAGGCTCTATAGGTGCCCCCTAGTGTTTTCTTTTCTATTATTTCTACATTTTTCTCTAAAGCTCTATTTAAATTATATCTTTATTAGGGTCAGTGACAAATAAGGAGAAACCATTTAAAAATCTTATTAAAAAAATGTGCCAAATGTAATTTTGAATTTAGAAATGTATTTTTTGTTTACATGGTGGTAGCCTTTTTGTCACATGACAAAACAGCTTCCCTCATGTTGGTTATGCCACATTAACTTTGATTTGGCATATGAAAGTTTTTTTAAATATCAATAATATTTAAAATAATATATTTATTAAAATATTATTAAACATTAATGAATGTTAACAATATTAACATCATTTCATTTTTTTATAAATATTTTTGAATGTCATTTATTTTTGCATTTATTTTATTTCTTAGAATCTCCGTTAAGTTACACTACCTGGACAATTTTGAATTTAAAAAGTATCCAAATTTAATTAATCAAAATGTAAGAAACTGAAGCCATGTTTATCGTAAAAGAAATGTATTCAATTCATTTATATTGTTAAATGAATTATATTTTAATGTATTTTTGAATAACTTAAGGCAAAAAAAACCCCATAACATGACTGACCCATTACCAATATAGCAAGCCAAGACTTTTAATTTAATAGCTATGACACCAATAACATGACTGATCACACATGACTGTGGTGTGGAGAATGCTGTTTAAACATGTATTCTGTATCTGACAGTCTCATTTGATCATTATTTCAACTGATCATTATAATTGTAATGCACATTAATTCATTGTATTGGCACATTCTCAATTTACCCAAACACATCATGCTCTCCCTTCCAGCCATTCATCTCACTTCCTCTCACCTGCTGCCCTCCCTCTTCGGTCCTGGTGATTCCCAGCCCCCTTCATTCCTCTCCCACCTCCTCCCTTTGTCAGTGTCCTGTCCTGCATCCAAAGTTCTCATTCTATCTGGACCACACCTGATAATATCTCGGGGCAAGAGGCTTCGGCTGGTCACCTCCATACCAACCTGCAATGCACCTGTGATTCGTACAGCACTTCTGGATCCTGTCTGCTTCTGTAATACATGATTACCCATGATCATCCCCAGCATTACTCACAAGAGAAACAGACCCGAGAACAATGTCCTGCAGCTTATGGAATTAAATAGATTTATTAAAGGCATAACTAAGGGTCTTGGATAATTGAGCTCACATGGACTGATCTCCACCTGGGCTGTGAATATTTCATCACGACAACAGTGAGTAACCATTGACCTCTGACCTCTTTTATTTGTCGAAAATTACTTTTATTAATTTTCAGTCGTTATAAACTGGCATACACTGTAACATACAGGGGTTACGCAGAATGCAATGCAGCAAATAAATACATTTGCCACTAATCTTGGTTGTGCATCTTAAGTTGACGTAACAATCCTACCAAGTGATCAAAGGCTGTGGTTTGAACACATTTCATCACACATATGGTTGTGGGTTTGTTTCTAGTGTTTGGCGGCTGAGTGATGGTTTATTCTGTATCTGACAGTCTCATTTGATCATTATTTCAGTTGATCATTATAATTATAATGTACATTAGTACATTGTACTGGCACATACTCAATTTACCCAAACACATCATGCTCTCCCTTCCAGCCATTCATCTCACTTCCTCTCACCTGCTGCCCTCCCTCTTCGGTCCTGGTGATTCCCAGCCCCCTTCATTCCTCTCCCACCTCCTCCCTTTGTCAGTGTCCTGTCCTGCATCCAAAGTTCTCATTCTATCTGGACCACACCTGATAATATCTCGGGGCAAGAGGCTTCGGCTGGTCACCTCCATACCAACCTGCAATGCACCTGTGATTCGTACAGCACTTCTGGATCCTGTCTGCTTCTGTAATACATGATTACCCATGATCATCCCCAGCATTACTCACAAGAGAAACAGACCCGAGAACAATGTCCTGCAGCTTATGGAATTAAATAGATTTATTAAAGGCATAACTAAGGGTCTTGGATAATTGAGCTCACATGGACTGATCTCCACCTGGGCTGTGAATATTTCATCACGACAACAGTGAGTAACCATTGACCTCTGACCTCTTTTATTTGTCGAAAATTACTTTTATTAATTTTCAGTCGTTATAAACTGGCATACACTGTAACATACAGGGGTTACGCAGAATGCAATGCAGCAAATAAATACATTTGCCACTAATCTTGGTTGTGCATCTTAAGTTGACGTAACAATCCTACCAAGTGATCAAAGGCTACACATTTCACACATTTCATCACACATATGGTTGTGGGTTTGTTTCTAGTGTTTGGCGGCTGAGTGATGGTGTTTAACATGTTTAACATGGGGCTCTTCTTCACACCCGTCCCTCTGAGATAACAAGCCTCCGGAGGAAGATTCCCTCTAATTAGAGTCAAACGTAACTCTGTATCTGCCTGCTGTCTCTATCTGACCCTCAGGGTCTATACGGTTTGTCTTTGTTCATATCACAGGAAAATGTATAGGACAAGATGAGAAGGGGAAAAATCCATTATAGCGCAAAAGTAATATTTGGGATTTTTGGCAGTTCTAACATTGCTTAAAGTTAAACCCAAATTGCTAATGTGAAAGGATCAGTTATGTATTTCTTGGAGTTATATGACGTAAAACAGCTAAGTACTGGTCTGCCGCAGCTGTAAATAACTGTGGGAACAGTCAGTTACTGTGGAAGAATCAACAACCACTTCAGTGGAAGTATTTCTGCCACTCTTCTCCATTGCGGTGGCTGTTATGATATAAGGGCACTGAGTGAAGCGGCTCTTTCTTTCATGAAAGGGGGAGCAGGAGGCAATTGAATGAATGAAAGGGGGGGATTGTTCCCTCGTCTGGGTGCCACTGATTACCTGCCAAACTCAGCCTAGCCTTTAATTAAAGTCATTAACCTGAGAGAATGAGAAAAAAAGTGAGAAAGACAAAGAGAGAAGAGTGACTGAGAGAGAGTTTCACATGGAGTTTGTAGTATTATAATATTGTCACAACATCAGTTGTTGCCAAGTTTTTTTAAATACATTCAGAATTGTAATCATTCTGATAATTGGTGAATTTCACAAAGCCTGTCAAATAAATACATTAATAAATAAATAAATAAGGGTATATATCATGGTAGTATTTGTAAATTTTATTGAAAAAAAGTGTATATAAGATGATTAAACAAACAAACTCAAAAGTACATTATATAAATGTATCAGATTATATATATATGTTATTTTTATTTTTGGGTACTCATGTCATCATGAGATTCACTCTAATTTGAAATAAAATTCTTATTACTGAACTACATTAGATCTCCCTTTGTGTCTGTCTCTATCTAATAAGATATTAGCTATAGATATTTAGATTTGTGACATTCCAAAACTGTTAAACATCACTATTCCATTATAGAGAAATATCTGGTGGGAAGGGAGAAAAGAGGAAATGTCAGGTAAGGAGATAGAAGAGATGATGATGTTTCTCTCTACCCTTCATTGTGTTATCTCTTTTTCGCTCTTTTCAGATGCCCTCTCGCTTTGGCACTGCGGTGCGGATCTTCATCACCACCCTATTCGCGGCAGTGGTGCTTTTTGCCATCCTATTGGCTTATGTGACAGGTTACCAGTTCATCCACACCGAGCAGCACCACCTGTCTTTTGGCTTGTACGGTGCCTTTCTGTCCCTCCACCTCCTCCTGCAGAGCCTCTTCGCCTACCTGGAGCACCGGCAAATGCGTGGCCCCTCCAGACCCCAGCACCTGCGGCGCACCGTGGCCCTCTGCATCGCAGCCTATCAGGAGGATCCGGACTACCTTCGCAAGTGTCTTTGGAGCATTCGCCGCATTTCTTTTCCCGGGCTTAAAGTAGTCCTGGTGGTGGATGGGAATCGGCAGGAGGATGGCTACATGATGGACATCTTCCAGGAGGTGATGGGGGGAGTGGAGCAGACAGGCTGTGTGGTGTGGAAGGGGAATTACCATTGCGACGGGGATGGGGGAGGAGGGAAAGGCTCGTTGCATGCCGAGGAGGCTGCACGGGTGGCCAGGGTGGTGCAAAGCTGCCGTTATTCCTGCATCATGCAAGAGTGGGGCGGCAAGAGGGAGGTCATGTATACAGCCTTCAAAGCACTGGGAGATACTGTGGATTACATACAGGTAGGTCTAGACCCCACTAAAAACCTAAAATGTAATAAAACGTAAAGAACCCTGCCTGAATAAATGTTCACACAATAATATGACTCAAATAATAGGAATAAAGAGCATCCATTCCAGATATTCTTACTTGTTGTTCTCAGAAGGCCGAATGACTTAGGGCCAGATTTACAAATGCCAGCGCAAACCGTCTTTTGGCATTAAAATAGTACGGTCAAGATTTACTAAAGACGTGCAGTGAAGAATTAGCGCTGAAAAGGCATGGACAATTATTTTTGCGCCTGACCTTATTGAATATGCATTTATAGGAGTTTCCCTTTAAGATGCAAAATTTATGGGAGTATTAAAGGGGTCATATGATGCGATTTCAATTTTTCCTTTCTCTTTTAAGTGTTACAAGCTCTTGGTGCATAAAGAAGATCTGTAAAGTTGCAAAGACTAAAGTCTCAAATCCAAAGAGATATTCTTTATAAAAGTTAAGAGTCAACCACGCCTACCTAAAACGTCTCGTTCTAACACGCCCCCACATGTCTACGTCACGATGTGGGAAGATTTGCATAACGCAGCCCAAATGTTCACGCAAAGAAAGAAGGCGTAACTTTTATTCTCGCTTTAGTATTGTTGCTGCCGCCATGTTGTGAAGACGCTGTGTGTTTCCTTGTGAACACGAAACTACTTAGTTTGGCCTAAAAAGAGGACGATAATGATATCCGCTTCGTCATGCCTAGAGCTGATCCGTGCTGGTCGCTGAGGAAATACATCAACTT